GCTGTTGCTGTGAGTTGTGTTTGGCCCTGTTTTGCTGGGCACAAGTTCGCCCAACAAACAGTTCGCCTGACACCGCCCTGACTCCTGCGTGCTTCCTCTCAAGTGCTGCGTGTATCACACCTCGTGACATCTGGTGGAGGTGCTTCTCTGTCCTGTACCGTACGCCCCCATCCAGCCGTGAGCCAAGCCCAAGCCGCCAAGAGGACGACGCCGACCCGGTCGTTCGAGTGAGCCGAAGACAACAAGGACTACCGCCCGAATACCTGCCGCTCCCCGACAAGGACAAGAAAACAAAGGCTGCTACGAAGCCGGCATCCACGATGACGGAAGCAAGGTCTTCGGCAACCGTGGTCGTCAACCAGCCCAAAGAGCCGCCTACCTTCCGCAAATCGACCTACGAAGACCCGGAAAGCTGGCTTGACATTTACGACCGCGTCGCAGCCCTCAATAAGTGGGACCCGGACGACAAGCTGCGTCGTGTATTTTTACCTGGAAGACGCCGCAAGGACTTGGTTCGAGAACCGCACGTGTCAGTTTTTTATACACGCGTCGTAACGCGTTCCAGAGTGGCATACAAGATAAACGCGGCCTGCGTTGCGCTTAACAGAAAGTGATAGCGTCTTCCTTCGTAAACCAAAAGAACCGCACGTGTGTAAACCAAAGAACAGCACGTGTCACTAGTGACACGTGCGGTTCTTTTGGTTTACGAAGGAAGACGCTATCACTTTCTGTTAAGCCGCAACGCAGACCCCCAGTGCGCACTGCCGCCGGCTTTTTATACACGCAGTCGTACGCGTTCCAAAGTGGCAGTACAAGATAAACGCGGGCCTGCGTTGCTGCTTAACAGAAAGTGATAGCGGCTTCCTTCGCAAACGAAAAGAACCGCACGTGTCAGTTTTTTATACACGCGGTCGTAACGCGTTCCAGAGTGGCATACAAGATAAATGCGGCCAGGCGTTGCGCTTAACAGAAAGTGATAGGCGTCTTCCTTCGTAAACCAAAAGACCGCACGTGTCAATATATGATTTCAGTATATTGGTGAAAACAAGGCATGCTGCATTGCATCTCCTTCCTGCTGTTTGTATGCTTCACTGCACTGTGCCTTTGTGGCTGCATTGGAAAGCATGGTTAAAAGTTAGTTCTTCATTTTGAAGTGCAAATAAAGGGCCTCTTTTGTTGTATTTTGATATGCATGAATTGGTCATGTAGAGCTCCATGCCGTAACCGATTGACGTCTGATTTCCGGTCTTCTTTTGTAGCAAATAGCATGTCTGCTTTGCACAATTGAAAAAGGCTTTTGATTAAAGGTACAATTTGTCTCTGAATCCTGTATGTTCTCTGTGCCTAATAAATAAAGCTTGATTTCGTTTTGCCCAATGGCATGACTTTGTGAACGTTTTGTTATGTGTGGCAGCTCATTTGTGGGATGCCTTTGCATTAAGCTAGGAGTTACGTGTTGTATGCCGTGCTTCGTATATGCACCATAAAAGCTGTGCTAAGCCAGGATTACCTCACTGTGGCAGGAGCCACTACAATAGGACATCTGCACATGAAAGGTCTAGCTAAAGGGTAAGCTTTCACGTGCTTCCACAGGGCTTACTGGAAAGGGGTACTTCGTATTATGGTATTTTTTGCATGGGTGTTGGGGCATTATTCAGCATGAACACCCCCACGACCCTTTTTGCTGTTTGAGCAATTACACCCCTACACTACTTTTGTTTTTTAAGGGTGTCATAGCAATATTACACCCTCACTCCCTTAAGGCCACTTGGGTGTACATTTGTCTTTCCACCCGAAAAAATGTTTGTGCCATAGGGTGTAAATTCGGAAATCCGCCCCACGATATAGGTGTAGCCCTGCTTGATACACCGATTTCGTGGGGTGTTGGGCTGTGAGTTATAGACACTATAAAACACCTATATGGGTGTAATTTGGTTTACAGTGTATCCAGGCAGATTTAGCAGCAAATGTTGTCACAATCTATCGCGGGTTAGCACAAGGCAATGTTGGCAAACTACCATCGTCAAAGATACCACGCTCCACTAGAGCAAGCTTTTTTTTTTTGACTCCGTTAAGACGTATACTTCAATGTTATAAAAAAGAAAACCATTTTGTTTTCACCAAGCATATAAAGAGTGGTGCTGTCGCAATGACCCTCTGTCGAAAACTTCGCTCTAATAGAATGTTCGTTCAGCGGAAGATGCGTGTATTCATGATTGGTGAAATTTCTGTTTGATTTTCACTTTGACAACACTCTTGTACTGGCGAAAATCTCGAAATGACCATCGCGGGTGCGTTGGCAACGAAGAAAGGTGGCAGCCGCCTCCGACTACAGCTGCAGGCCTTGCGAGCTGGGCCACCATGGAGCGGCCGCTTTTCACACTGCCCAATTCTAGCCACCTAGTGCTACATGGTGTAGTGGCAGTAGTGCTAGTTTTGCCAACGCCTCCTCTAGAAAGATGCCTAAGGAATGGCTCGCGCTACTAGCGAAGTTGACCTGCTTTCAGTTCGGTGCGCGGTGGCGCTTGCGACTGACACTAACAATCCTCTCTTTAGTCAAACAAGGAAAACTCATTGATCAGGCACTACCAGCATTAATGTACGCAGATGATATAGTGCTCATGGCCAACAACAAGGAAGATTCGCAGAGATTGATGGACATCTGCGATAATAGAGATAGGTTAGATTTCAGATTCCGTAAGGAAAAATCAGCAGTCATGATTTTCAATGACAACGAAGGTAGTGAGCTTAGAATACAGGAGGTCACGCTAGAGATAACAGATAAATACAAATAATCTGGGCGTATTGGATAAGCAATGGGACCGAGTACCTGAGGAACACGAAATATACGTGACGACTCAAGGTAACAGGAATGCAGCAGTGATGAAAAAATAGGGCACTGTGGAATTACAATAGGTATGATGTTTGTGAGAGGAATATTGAAAGGGGTCAAGGTTCCTGGGCTGACGTTCGGCAATGCGGTCTTGTGCATGAGATCAGAAGTTCAAGCAAGATAGAAATAAGCAACGTGGAATAGGCAGGCCTTGCTTTAGTAGCTCATGGGAATACACCAAATCAAGTAGTACAAGGTGATATGGGATGGACTTCATTTGAGGGCAGGGAAGCTAGCAGCAAGATAAAATTTGAGAAGCGATTGAGAGAAATGGGGAAGGAGCATTGGGCTAGGAAGTTTTTCAGCTACTTGTACATGAAAAATGTCGATTCAAAATGAGGAAGCGAACCAGGAAATTCACTGGTAAATACTTAGAAAACAGCAGGTGGCCAAACAAAAAAGAACTATCGGTTAAGAAGAAAGTGAAGGAAACGGAGAACTGACTTGGGGAGAATGACCATGATTAGAAGACCGCACTAGAGATCTATCGAACTTTTAAAGCAGGAAATTGCCAAGGAAAGGATCTATGATAATACTCGGGGTAGTTCTCTACTGTTTGAGGCCAGGACGGGATTACTGCGAACCAAGACATATCGGGCCAAATACGAAGGGGTAGACACAGTATGCAGTGCGTGTGGAGAGGAAGAAGAAACTGCCGAACACTTGATAATGTTCTGTAAAGGGCTTCACCCTATAGTTCAGGATGACGGCGCAGAGTTTTTCAAAGCACTGGGGGTTTAGGAACCGGGAGGGAAAATACACTTTAAGCGGGTAGACTTAACTAGAATGAAGTTATCTGATTGGTGGCTAAAGTCAAGGCACGAGTGAAAATTAAACTCTTCACTGCAAAGTACAAATCCTCAAACTCACTTTTTAAAGAAAAAAAATAAATCCAGTTTTTGGTTCATTAAGTATTACGGCTTGGGAGCGCTAGCCACCGCTCGATCTAAAGGGTACAGCCATATCCATCCATTCATTCATCCATCCAATCAACGGCGGCGGACGGTACTGCAGCAAAGCGTTTTTCACCTGCAGCCCCTTGGGACGCGTCAGTCGAGAGTTGTTTCAAGACCGACAACCGTACATCACTGTTTCAGAGGTTATGCAATGTCCAAAGTGCTGCGTTGTTGCGTCGTCCGCCACAAGTGACGCTAGCGACCGACAACATTTTCGGGGCCACTGATGGAACGGTTTGTTTATTCGTTTCTTCTAGAAAACCTTAGATGAGAGCAATACTTGGCTGCCTTGGATCCCCTGATGACGAAGCACTGCGGATCCGGCCACTGTCTTTCGGTATGCAAGTTCCTCTTGGGTAAGCTTTGGAAATTCGCGATAGAGAGCTCTGGCAGCAGCACTCGGATGTCAATTTACTGAACGATTTTATTGGCATTCCGGGCATATCTTAAGGTGCTATCGATGCACTGAGTAGTACGGGAGACACCAAATTACCGCAGGGCGAGAACAGTGGTACGAATTTTGTGCAGCTCTTTCGGGGCCACTGATGGAACGGTTTGTTTATTCGTTTCTTCTAGAAAACCTTAGATGAGAGCAATACTTGGCTGCCTTGGATCCCCTGATGACGAAGCACTGCGGATCCGGCCACTGTCTTTCGGTATGCAAGTTCCTCTTGGGTAAGCTTTGGAAATTCGCGATAGAGAGCTCTGGCAGCAGCACTCGGATGTCAATTTATTGAACGATTTTATTGGCATTCCGGGCATATCTTAAGGTGCTATCGATGCACTGAGTAGTACGGGAGACACCAAATTACCGCAGGGCGAGAACAGTGGTACGAATTTTGTGCAGCTCTTTCGGGGCCACTGATGGAACGGTTTGTTTATTCGTTTCTTCTAGAAAACCTTAGATGAGAGCAATACTTGGCTGCCTTGGATCCCCTGATGACGAAGCACTGCGGATCCGGCCACTGTCTTTCGGTATGCAAGTTCCTCTTGGGTAAGCTTTGGAAATTCGCGATAGAGAGCTCTGGCAGCAGCACTCGGATGTCAATTTACTGAACGATTTTATTGGCATTCCGGGCATATCTTAAGGTGCTATCGATGCACTGAGTAGTACGGGAGACACCAAATTACCGCAGGGCGAGAACAGTGGTACGAATTTGTGCAGCTCTTTCGGGGCCACTGATGGAACGGTTTGTTTATTCGTTTCTTCTAGAAAACCTTAGATGAGAGCAATACTTGGCTGCCTTGGATCCCCTGATGACGAAGCACTGCGGATCCGGCCACTGTCTTTCGGTATGCAAGTTCCTCTTGGGTAAGCTTTGGAAATTCGCGATAGAGAGCTCTGGCAGCAGCACTCGGATGTCAATTTACTGAACGATTTTATTGGCATTCCGGGCATATCTTAAGGTGCTATCGATGCACTGAGTAGTACGGGAGACGCCAAATTACCGCAGGGCGAGAACAGTGGTACGAATTCTGTGCAGCTCTTTCGGGGCCACTGATGGAACGGTTTGTTTATTCGTTTCTTCTAGAAAACCTTAGATGAGAGCAATACTTGGCTGCCTTGGATCCCCTGATGACGAAGCACTGCGGATCCGGCCACTGTCTTTCGGTATGCAAGTTCCTCTTGGGTAAGCTTTGGAAATTCGCGATAGAGAGCTCTGGCAGCAGCACTCGGATGTCAATTTACTGAACGATTTTATTGGCATTCCGGGCATATCTTAAGGTGCTATCGATGCACTGAGTAGTACGGGAGACACCAAATTACCGCAGGGCGAGAACAGTGGTACGAATTCTGTGCAGCTCTTTCGGGGCCACTGATGGAACGGTTTGTTTATTCGTTTCTTCTAGAAAACCTTAGATGAGAGCAATACTTGGCTGCCTTGGATCCCCTGATGACGAAGCACTGCGGATCCGGCCACTGTCTTTCGGTATGCAAGTTCCTCTTGGGTAAGCTTTGGAAATTCGCGATAGAGAGCTCTGGCAGCAGCACTCGGATGTCAATTTACTTGAACGATTTTATTGGCATTCCGGGCATATCTTAAGGTGCTATCGATGCACTGAGTAGTACGGGAGACACCAAATTACCGCAGGGCGAGAACAGTGGTACGAATTCTGTGCAGCTCTTTCGGGGCCACTGATGGAACGGTTTGTTTATTCGTTTCTTCTAGAAAACCTTAGATGAGAGCAATACTTGGCTGCCTTGGATCCCCTGATGACGAAGCACTGCGGATCCGGCCACTGTCTTTCGGTATGCAAGTTCCTCTTGGGTAAGCTTTGGAAATTCGCGATAGAGAGCTCTGGCAGCAGCACTCGGATGTCAATTTATTGAACGATTTTATTGGCATTCCGGGCATATCTTAAGGTGCTATCGATGCACTGAGTAGTACGGGAGACACCAAATTACCGCAGGGCGAGAACAGTGGTACGAATTCTGTGCAGCTCTTTCGGGGCCACTGATGGAACGGTTTGTTTATTCGTTTCTTCTAGAAAACCTTAGATGAGAGCAATACTTGGCTGCCTTGGATCCCCTGATGACGAAGCACTGCGGATCCGGCCACTGTCTTTCGGTATGCAAGTTCCTCTTGGGTAAGCTTTGGAAATTCGCGATAGAGAGCTCTGGCAGCAGCACTCGGATGTCAATTTATTGAACGATTTTATTGGCATTCCGGGCATATCTTAAGGTGCTATCGATGCACTGAGTAGTACGGGAGACACCAAATTACCGCAGGGCGAGAACAGTGGTACGAATTCTGTGCAGCTCTTTCGGGGCCACTGATGGAACGGTTTGTTTATTCGTTTCTTCTAGAAAACCTTAGATGAGAGCAATACTTGGCTGCCTTGGATCCCCTGATGACGAAGCACTGCGGATCCGGCCACTGTCTTTCGGTATGCAAGTTCCTCTTGGGTAAGCTTTGGAAATTCGCGATAGAGAGCTCTGGCAGCAGCACTCGGATGTCAATTTATTGAACGATTTTATTGGCATTCCGGGCATATCTTAAGGTGCTATCGATGCACTGAGTAGTACGGGAGACACCAAATTACCGCAGGGCGAGAACAGTGGTACGAATTTGTGCAGCTCTTTCGGGGCCACTGATGGAACGGTTTGTTTATTCGTTTCTTCTAGAAAACCTTAGATGAGAGCAATACTTGGCTGCCTTGGATCCCCTGATGACGAAGCACTGCGGATCCGGCCACTGTCTTTCGGTATGCAAGTTCCTCTTGGGTAAGCTTTGGAAATTCGCGATAGAGAGCTCTGGCAGCAGCACTCGGATGTCAATTTACTGAACGATTTTATTGGCATTCCGGGCATATCTTAAGGTGCTATCGATGCACTGAGTAGTACGGGAGACGCCAAATTACCGCAGGGCGAGAACAGTGGTACGAATTCTGTGCAGCTCTTTCGGGGCCACTGATGGAACGGTTTGTTTATTCGTTTCTTCTAGAAAACCTTAGATGAGAGCAATACTTGGCTGCCTTGGATCCCCTGATGACGAAGCACTGCGGATCCGGCCACTGTCTTTCGGTATGCAAGTTCCTCTTGGGTAAGCTTTGGAAATTCGCGATAGAGAGCTCTGGCAGCAGCACTCGGATGTCAATTTATTGAACGATTTTATTGGCATTCCGGGCATATCTTAAGGTGCTATCGATGCACTGAGTAGTACGGGAGACACCAAATTACCGCAGGGCGAGAACAGTGGTACGAATTTGTGCAGCTCTTTCGGGGCCACTGATGGAACGGTTTGTTTATTCGTTTCTTCTAGAAAACCTTAGATGAGAGCAATACTTGGCTGCCTTGGATCCCCTGATGACGAAGCACTGCGGATCCGGCCACTGTCTTTCGGTATGCAAGTTCCTCTTGGGTAAGCTTTGGAAATTCGCGATAGAGAGCTCTGGCAGC